GGGTGACGGGTGTGCTGCTGCACCTGGCTTCTTACACCAGCACGGGGTGATGGGTGTGCTGCTGCACCTGGCTTCTTACACCAGCACGGGGGTGATAGGTGTGCTGTCACACCTGGCTTCTTACACCAGCACCGGGGCAACAGGTGTGAACAACAGAGGAACCAATGCAGGTTCTTGAACCCAGAATCTTTCTCTTTTTAAAATTCTTACTTATTTAATTTAATGTTTATGGGTATTTTTGTCTGCATGCATGTCTGTGAACCATATGTATGCAAGGCCTGTGGAGGCCAGAAGAGAGCATCTGATTCCCCATGAATGTGGTTACAGATGGCTGTGAGCTACCATGTGGGTGCAGGGAATCAAACCCGGGTCCTCTGGAAGAGGCTGAGCCATTGCTCCAGCCCGTGTCCACCAGCATCTTTTGACTGTGGATGTATAGATGGTGGGGGTGAAAGACCCTGATAATGGGGAATCTTTTCTTTTATTTCAAAACAGGTTCTCACTGTGTAGCTCTGGTTGGCTGGAACTTATAGAGATCCTCCTGCCTCTGCCTCTCCAGTACTGGGATTAAAGGAGCACACCACCATTACTGGATTGATAATGTTGAATCTTGTCAATTACACAAAACCCAAAAATCAACCTGGAGCCCAATGGTGGTGGGTGGCGCACGCCTTTAATCCCACACTCAGGAGGAAGAGGCAGGAGAATCTCTGAGTTCGAGGCCAGCCTGGTCTACAGAGCAAGTTTCAGGACAGCCAGGCCTACACAGAGAAACCCCATCTTGAAAAACAAAAACAAAACCAACCTGGAGGCAAATCTCTTGTCACTGGATTATTTAGATTAGGTCAGCTGAGGGTAAAGACCCCTACAGAATGCGGGTGCCCCAGGGCACCCTCTGGGGCTGGGTGTGAAGAAGCCAGCTGAGCACCTGAGCTAGGTGTGGAGAGTGTGACCTTGGTGGCTGTGGGGTTTGGGTGCAGGGGGTCACATCTGCTCAGCAGGTGCTAGAAGCTGAGGTCGCCATACAAAAGGCTAAGGAGGCAGATGTGACAGTCAAACCCCTGGACAGTGAGTAAAGTCACATGTTGGGGAGAGGTGACCTGCAGGCTGCCCTCCCCAGCACTAAAAACTGGAGGTTGGGGAGATGGCTCCGTGGTGCAGTGAGCCTGGGCACATCAGGGACTTGGGGTTTGACTGAGAGACCCTGCCTCAGATACGGTGGGAAAGTAATTGATGATCCCAGAACAACCCAAGGTCTGCACATATACACGCACACACGTACTCATGTGCCTCCACACGAGCACACAACACAGACACGCAGGAAAATGGAAAAAACAAATAAAGGAATAAAGAGAAGTAGAGTGTATCAGGCCCAATGCACTGGTCCTGCAAGGGTCATACATGCTATGTGGCTCCACCCACCATTCCCTCGGACCTCCACACCACACAGTCTGCCTGCCTGTCCACAGTCCCCATCCTATTCCATTTCCTTCCTTCCACTCACGTTCTGCACCCTGGCCATGCACCTTTTCTAACCTAACAATTAGCAGTGATGCTAGGCTCTGGGTGGGGAGCCTTTTGTAGCCAGAAAACTCCTACTCGCTCTTCAAAACCCCAATCAAATATCACCTCTGCAGAAGGTCTTCCTGTCCTTACCCCAGCAGTGTCTTGGGCCAGGTGAGGAGGGACAGAGGCCACAGGGGGATACTTACAAGGACATGTGAAGGATTTCATTGGTCTCCGGTTTCCAAACTCCTCGAAGCAGCTGCTCCAGGTTGGACAGGAGGGCAACACCAGAGCCTGTAGGGGCAGGGCACCACTGAACTAGCTTGCCACCCCATGCCCTGTTTCTCCTAGCCTCCATTCCCAAGGACACAAAGGGCCTTTTCTTCATGAGGGGTGTCTGAGTCTGGGGAATACAATCCCTGACTCATGTAGGTGGGTCTTCTATCAATCTGTTGCTTTCATTGGTTAATTAATGAAGAAACTGCTTGGCCTGATAGGTCAGAACATAGGTGGGTGGAGTAGACAGAACAGAATGCTGGGAAGAAGGCAATGAGGCAGACACCATGCAGCCAGCCGCCAGGTCTGAATCTTTCCCGGTAAGCCACGATCTCGTGGTGAGATACAGATTATTAGAAATGGGTTGAATCAATATGTGAGAGTTAGCCAATAAGAGGCTGGAGGTAATGGGCCAGGCAGTGTTTAAAAGAATACAGTTTCTGTGTAATTATTTTGGATGTAAATTAGCCAGGGATCCGGGCTGCGGGACACAGCCCACCGTTCCTTATTACTACACCTGACAGCTGGAGAAATGAGGCTCACAGCAAAGCCTTGCCCAGGTTTTCACGGCACAGTTGGGGCAAACCAGCAGGAAGCAACTGGATGTGTCCCCAGCTACAACGGACTGTCTTGAATCTCCCTGCGTGCCCAGGCTGGCCAGGACTCCCAATCCTCCCTGGCTCATCATCACAAATGCTGGGATGACAGGAGCCCACTCTTATGCCCAGCTAACTGCTGTGATCTTACTTATTGGAAAAAATTTAATAATTTCTTTTTATAATTTTATTATTTATTTGTTAATTTTGTGTATGGGTGTCAGCCACACTCTAACGCAGAGGTCAGAGGACAACCATGAAGTGAGTTCTCTGTTACCTACTGAGCCTTCCTGCCAGCCCCTACAATTTTTTTTATTACATTTATCTAGGTATGGTGGTATACACCTTTAGTCAGCTCTTGGGAGGCAGAGGTAGGAGAATCTCTGTGAGTTCAAGGCTGGCTTGGTCTACATAATGAGCTCCAAGCCAGCCTGGGCTACAAAGAGACTGTCTGAAAAACAATGTTACATATTACTTATACTTTCTGTGGTAGTGGGGAGTGTGTCCACGTACATGAGCAAACCGTAGCACATGTGTGGAGGTCAGAGGACCAGGACTCTCAGGAGCTGGTTCTCTCCTTCCACTGTGTGGGCTCTGGGGTCAGGCTCAGGTCATTGGGTCTGGCCTCAAGCACTCTTCCCAAGCCATCTTGCTGCCCCTATTATTATTAACTTCATTGTTACTGCATATGGTGTGTGTAGGCGCACGGGCCACGGTGCCCATGTGGTGAGCTGTGAACAACCTGTGGGAGGCTTTTGCTGCAAGCTCTTTACCACTAAATCGTCTCCCTGGACTGTCTCCTTGGACGATCTCACTGGACTGCCTCACTGGACCGTCTCACTGCACCGCCTCACTGAACTGTTTCACTGGACCGCCTCACTGAACTGTCTCGCTAGACAGTCTCACTGGACCGTCTCTCACTGGACCGCCTCACTGGACTGTCTCACTGGACAGTCTTACTGGACCATCTCCCTGGACCGTTTCACCGAACCACCTCACTGAACTGTCTCACTGGACCGCCACACTGAACTGTCTCACTGGACCGTCTCACTGAACTGTCTCACTGGACCACCTCACTGGACTGTCTCACTGGACAGCCTCACTGAACAGTCTCACTGGACAGCCTCACTGGACCGTCTCACTGAACTGTTTCACTGGACCGTCTCACTGAACTGTCTCGCTAGACAGTCTCACTGGACCGTCTCACTGGACTGTCTCACTGGACCATCTCTCACTGGACCGCCTCACTGGACTGTCTCACTGGACAGTCTTACTGGACTATCTCCCTGGACCGTTTCACTGAACCACCTTACTGAACTGTCTCACTACACCGCCTCACTGGACTGTCTCACTGTACTGTTTCACTGGACTGCCTCACTGAACTGTCTCACTAGACAGTCTCACTGGACCGCCTCACTGGACTGTCTCACTGGACAGTCTTACTGGACCATCTCCCTGGACTGTTTCACCGAACCACCTCACTGAACTGTCTCACTGGACCGCCTCACTGAACTGTCTCACTGGACCACCTCACTGGACTGTCTCACTGGACAGCCTCACTGAACAGTCTCACTGGACAGCCTCACTGGACCGTCTCACTGAACTGTCTCACTGGACCGTCTCACTGAACTGTCTCACTGGACAGCCTCACTGAACTGTCTCACTGGACCACCTCACTGGACCCCTGTGGGGATTTTTTATCTTCCCTGTCATAGTTCTGTTTACCTTTGACCCAGCCAGTGGCGATCATGATGAACCACCCGTGGTGGTAGTGGTGGTGCGCATGGTGGATGCCCACGGCAATCTTCCGAACCCTCACCACCTCCTTCATGGCCACGAAGATGAGTTTCACAGGCAGGAAGCAGACACACTTGTAGAAGAGGTCCAAGGGACAGAAGAAAATCAAGTACCTTTGAGGACAGAAGACCTAGGGTCAGGAGGAAGGGTAGGCCAGGGGAGTATCTGGCTGGCGCCCTGCTGATTGTGACTGGGGTTCTTGATCCTTTAACCTCCCTCCTCCCTAGTGCTGGGGTCCTCCCTGGCCCCAGGCTCAGCCTTTCCAGGGTCTCCAGATGCTTACCACACTGCAGAGGCCAGCAGGATGCTGGAGCTGTTGCTGAAGTAGTCAATGATGGGCTCCCCAAGGAGCAAGTCAGCCAGGATGTAACTCCCAAAACAGTGCAGCATGGCGCACAGCCAGGAGGCCACTGGGTGGCGCCGGGACAGCTCCACTGCTCCTGCAAGGCACATGAATTCTGGTGACTACAGGAGCAGGACAACCCTGCAGGCAGGCTGCCCTTTTAACCCTCTGGGTGCTGGAGATTAAACCCAGGGCTTCCCCTATGCTCACTGGGTGCTGAGATGGAAGCCAGTTGCAAGCTGAGCGTGAGTTCTACCACCAAGGTAGGGAAGAGGCAGTGGCGATTAGCCAGTACTAGGAAGCCATCCCAGGACCTGCATGGGGGAGACCTGACTCGCTGCACACACAAGAAATAAAAGCAGCCTAGCATGGTGATCCACAATTTAGGTAGATCTGTGAGTTCAAGGTCAGCCTGGTCTATAGAGTAAATTCCAGGGCATCCAGGGCTACACAGAGAAACCCTAACTCAAATAAGGAAACAAATGAACAAATAAATAATGGCAATATTTGTAGATCTCCAGTCTTTGTTAAAGGTCAGGCTCTATCCTTAAGTTAACATCATCCCCATCTCATAAAGCCACACCCTTGAGCCACCACTGGGTGTCCCCGGTGTGACTGCTGATACTGGAGAATCCCTCCTTTTCTGACCAGTTTCATTTGGTGGAGAAGGGGATCAGACCCCCAAGGGTCACGGATTGGGAAAGTGGTCCCCAAGGTGTTAGGATTAGAGGTGAGGATCCTTTAAGAATTGGGTGTAGGGCATGGCAATTAGGTCTGTGGTACCAAGGCTAGCCTGCTGCAGGAACATCCTGGGAGAATGTGGTGGTTTCAGAGGCACAGCTGTGCTGGGGATCAGTGGGTAGAGCACTTGCCTAGCACGCTGCAAGTCCTGGGTTCCACCCATAGCACCATATAAACCCGGTGTGGTTGATGCAGGCCTGTAATCCCAGCACACAGGAAGGGAAACAGGAGAATCTTAAGTTTTTTTTTTGTTTGTTTTCGAGACAGAGTTTCTCTGTAGCTTTGGAGCCTGTCCTGGAACTAGCTTTTGTAGACCAGGTTGGCCTCGAGCTCACAGAAATCTGCCTGCTTCTGCCTCCTGAGTACTGGAATTAAAGATGTGCACCACCACTGCCTGACAAGAATCTTAAATTTAAGGTTATTCCTCGCTACAGGGGACATTCTAGGCTAGCCTGGGGTACATGAGACCCTGTATCAAAAGAAAAAAAAAAAAGAAACCTGGCCAGAGTGGCCCTGCTGGCCTCTGCCACCTCTGCCTTTCCCGTGAGTGTCTGCTGCCCTGTGATTTCCCACAAGGCCAAACAGGGAATCTCCTTTCTAAACTTTCAGGCTTCAAACTGAGCCAAGCCAACCTTCAGTGCCAGGGATGGAACCCAGGGCTTCCCACTGAGCCACAGCCTCAGCAACAAAACCTCTTTTCTCTTTGTCAGCAAAAACATCTGTGTATTGTCACCACAGTGGAAATGAGCCAGTGAGATGGTCCTGTTTAGGTCGACTGCCTCCAAGTCTGATGAGTTCAATCCCCAGAACCCCACGGTAGAGAGAACCAACTTCCCCAGATGTCACTGAGCCTACACGTGCTCTCCACACACACGCACAAACACATACATAATAAATAAATCATTTCAAACAAACAAAATCACTTTAAAACATAAATACAACCTTTAAGAAACTCTGTCCAGTGTGGACATAACAAGGTAAATTATGCCATTTTACCAATGGCCGCAGAGAGCAACTAGGGCAGGGGAGCAGCCGTGCGACTGTGAGGACTGGAATTCAGATCCTTCCAACTCAGAGACCCAGAAGCTGGTGAGGAGGCTCAGCAGGGACAGCCTCACCCACCAAGATGGATTATGGAATACATATTGTGGGAGGAATGAGCCAACTCCTGCACACACATGCACAGGCATGTACTCTCAAGAACACACAAAAGCATAACCAGCCTTGTCAAGTGCCCTGGTATATACTTATAATCTCAGCCACTTGGGACCCAAAAAGAGGAGGGAAGGGAGGAGAGAGAGAGGAAAGGGGACAGAAGAGAAGGGAGAGGGGAGGGGAGGGGAAAGAACACCCCTTCCTGCATCTATTTAAAGTACTACTTCCCCTGAGAAGTAATCCCAGAAGCAGCTGGTGAGCCCACAGGGTCAAGGCTACTGAAGCCCTCCCTCCTGCCCTGCAGAAAAGACACATGCATGTGCTTCTAAAAATAGCTGCCAGGGGCAGTCTTATTCCAGGGTGTTTCTTGTGCCCTTTGGGACCATCCTAGAGACAGCTGAAGGGGAGGGGCTAACAGGCTTTGCTTCCTAAGCACCTTCTACATAAAGTCTTGACCCCCTCACTCTGCCACTCAGGCCTATGTAGCCCTGAGCAAGTGTCTGCCACCAGCCTCCAGCTAGCCAGTTTCTTTGGTTGTCAAAAGGCAGAGGGATGAGCTTATATAGCCTTCAAGCTATAATGGTTCAACTCATTATCTTTATTTATTTTGAAAAGATTTATTTTATGTGTATAAGTGCTTGCATGTACATGTGTCTGTGGATCATGTGAATGAAGTACCTGTCGAGGCCTGAAGAGGGTGTCATCCCTTAGAGATGGATCACAGGTGGTTGCAAGGGACCCTGGATCTTTTGCAAGAGCAGCCAGTACCCCTACCTGCTGAGCCATTGCTCCAGCCCTCTTTATTCATTTTGATACAGCATTTCACTCTAATACAGGCTAGCCATTAATTTGCCATTCTCCTGCCTCAACCTCCCCACTGCTGAGATGTCAGGTTCAGTCACTCAGAACCTGGAGAAGCCTAGGTTCCCTGGCTCTATCAAAGTCTGCCTACCAGGACAAAAAGAAATTGCTTAGCCCTTAGCAATTATGCCAGAGATATTCTGGGACCTAGCATGAGATTGAAATATCTGGGGGGTGGAAATTTCACACACCAGATAAATCCACCCACTGTGAGTTCAAGGAATAGCCCAGCAGTAGCACCTCTGCCTAGAATCCTCCAGTGAGAGGCTAGGGGCATGGCTCAGGGGTGGAGCCTTGCCTAGAATTCCCTCAGTGTCTCCTGGTCCTTAAGATTAGTGGTTGGGGAGGCCTGTGGCGGATGTAAAAATTGCCCTCTTTATCGTTTTTTGGTGCTATTCCTTGCACAGACTTAGCACAGCATAGCTCAGGAGCCACAACCGAAGCCCCAAAGCTTTGTATTTTTCAGTTTAAAAAATAAACTTGTCTATTAATTGGTGCTGTATCTCAGGGAGCAGAGGACTGGTCTAGCTTGCCTGAAGCCCTGGATTCCATTGCCACCACACAGGATTCCAGTGTGGTGGCTGGAATCACAACACACAGGACTCAAGATGATCATGAGTTGGAGGCCAGCCTGGGCTACATAGTGAGACCTAAAAGAACAATGAAGTCTGTTATTGTTGGGCATGTCTGTAGTCCCAGAACTTGGGAGATGCAGACAGCAGAATCAAGAGTTCAAAGTCCTGTTTAGCTGTTGAGCAAGTTTAGTCCAGCCTGGGCTACATAAAACCAGTTTAGACTGGTACCAAGGACACAGCTCGGTTGGTGAAGTGCTCTCCTAACAGGCACCCAGTCTTGGGCTCCATCCGCTGCAGGATGGATATGGTGGGGGAACACCTTCATCCCAGCACAGCGGCTGGGGATGAGTTCTCACTTTAACAAGCAGCCCTGACTTCCCTTCTAGAAACCATCCCCATGAGTGGTATTTGGAACAAGCTCTCCTGGGCAGTTTTGGTTTGGTTCAGCGTCCTGCATCTCTAAGCACGCTGAGTTTTCTTGTAAAAGAACTCTCTGGAAAGCCTGACCCAGAAAACACCAGTCCCCCATGTTCTTCTAGAGCCTTCCAAGTGCATAAAACTACTTCTTACAGATTCCCCAGACACCCAAAATCCAGATCTCCATACCATTGGACTACATGCCTGTAGACAACAGGGGCAACGGGGTCAATTTGCCAATGAGCCCAAGTCACAGACAGGCAAGGGGAAATGGAGGCATGGGGGCCAGTTTGTGTAAGCAGACTGGTTCCACCTCAGAAGCCCTCACCTGTCCCTTTTGTTTCATGTGTATGTGTGTGTATCGAGCATGTATATTTGAATGGGGGGACGACATGATGCATATGCAGGGGCTTTGTGCACGTGTGTGTCTGCACATATGGAGCCAGCTTATCCTGAGGACCCGATCTCTGCCTCCTGAATACTTCACCATCTTTTTTTATCTTATTGTTTGGAGGGGGGGCAGTGAAGACAGGATCTCACTACATAGCTCTGGCTGTCCTGGAACTCACTGTGCACACCAGGGTGGTCTAAAATCTAGAGATACATTTGCTTCTGCCTGAGTGCTGGAATTACAGGCATGTGCCACCATCTTTGGCTGAGAAAAAGCCCAGGCTGGTCTACCTAAGGTTCTTTGGGTCAGTCTTGTTTGCAGAAATAACAGGTATGTGTTGCCAGGCAGCTCATCGACCACCTTGATTTCCTAAGGGAAGGGTGAAGAGAGCAGTTTTTGTAGCCTAATCTGCTATTCTGGGAGTCACAGGAACCTGGGTATGAGTCTCAGTCTCTTGGGACTTGCAGACTCACTGTTGGGAGCCACCTGGAGGCACAGGTGGTCCTGCAGTTTGGAGGTAGCCACGTGGGGCTGAGCACCCTTGCCTGCACCCTTGCTTGCACATGCTCAGAACAGCAGAATGGCATTAACCAATCAGGACAGCGTTCAAGCCTCTCCACCGCTTAAAAGCAGCTGCCTCTGGGTCCAACCCTCTCTCTCTAAGCTTTCTCTTGTCCCTGCTCTATCTTCCCTTCCCCCAATTTTCCTCAAGGGAATGCTCCGAATAAAGATGTGACCAGGGAAGGAATTCTCGTTTTTGGTGGCGTTCATTCCTGCTGGACAGGATGCGCCCCCCGCAACTCACTACATATAAGTTTACTTCGACTGTCGACATCCTGTTCCCCAAATATTGAAGGAGTTATTCCAGGCAGATATCATGCAGCAAACATGTGGGGGCATGGGCTTCAAATGCAAGCATGCAGGTATTCTGATTAAACCAGTCTGGGTTTTAGAGTCTAGGGATGGAATCCACGGTCTTCTGCACACTCAGCCAGAACTCTACCATCAGGCCCCACCCCCAGCCTCACACAGGGAATCTAGGCTGTCCCTCTGTGCTGAGTACACACAAATAAGTGAAAATCAATGTTGCCAGGCTGTGGTGGCGCCGCCTTTAATCCCAGCACTTGGGAGGCAGAAGAAGGCAGAACTGTGAGTTTGATGTCAGCCTGGCCCACAGAGCGAGTTCCAGGACATCCAGGGCTACATAGAGAAACCCTGTCTCAAAAATGAAAACAAAACACACACACACACACACACACACACACACACACACACACACACACAGATATTTTCCCCCAAGAGCCAGCAAGATGGCTTAGCAGGTAACACTTGCCACCAGGTCTCATGACCTGAGTGCAATCCCTGGGACCCATGGGGTCAAAGGAGAGACCTGAAACCTGTATTGCCCTTTGACCTACATATATAATAAAAAAATTAATACAATTTTATTTTGAGACAGGATCTGGCTAAGCTGTCCAGGCTGACTTTGAACTTACCATCTTTCTGCTTCTGCTTCTTGAGTGGGTGGGATAATAGGTGGGCACTGCACCAGGCTGAGGTTGATTTTACAGTGTCTGGCCTCAAACTCAGAGATCCACCTGCCTCTGCCTCCCAAGTGCTGGCATTAAAAGTGTGCACCACAAACTCTGGGTGGAAATGGACTTTTAAAAGATCCTAGAAATCTGCTGTGCAGCTAGGGTTGAGAAACTAATGAAGTTCTAGGGAATAAATCCCAAACCTTCTGGAACATTCTAACTCCTACTTACACTTGCGGCACAGATGGTTTACTGTGAAACCCCTGCAGAAATATTCAGACAAGAATGGGCATGGATCTCATTCGAGCACAGGGAAGGCTGAAGAAAGAGGATCGTTGAGTTTGAGTCCAGGCTGGGCTATGCAGTGAACCCTGTTTTGTTTGTTTTTTTGGTGTTTTGTCTTGTTTTGTTTTTCTTGAGATAGGGTTTTCTATGTGGTCTTGATTGTCCTGGAACTCACTCTGTAGATCAGGCTGGCCTTGAACTCCAGAGATCTTGAGATCCACCTGTCTCTGCTTCTCAAGTGCTGGAATTAAAGGCATGCAGCTCTTGTTTGGTTTTATTAAATAGGGGTTGGCAAGAGGGCTCAGAGGTAACAACATCACTTGCTACCCAGTGACCACCTGAGTGTGATCCCCAGAACCCATGTAAAAATGTCAGACGAGAGCTGATTCCACAAAGCTGTCGTCTGACCCCTCCATGATCTCTGTGGCACATATGTATACACACATGCATTAATGATGATGATGATAACTGAAAAGATTCTAAAACACAAATAGAGGAGGCAGTGAATGGCACTTTGGGCAAAGATACTCGCTGCCAAGCCTTGGGCTCACGCCTATGTCTACACCGAAAGGAGGACAGCTGCTCCACGCCATCCTCTGCCCTCCGCATGCACATCCCGGCACACTCACCCCCATACACACACAATAAAAACATGAAAAGAGCTGAATCCCTCCCCTATTTTCAGCACACTTTTTACTAAGCCCATTCCGGGGGCTCCTGTCTCCACATGGTGGACCTTGGGGCGTGCTGGGTTCGGCAGAAGCCACCAGGAATTATTCCCCTGATGGGAAACCCAGTTTCTCCAAACGAAAGCACAAGTGAGAACTTTGCCTTGCAAAGCCAAGGCTCCCCAGAGCAGCTTTTGGAGAGACAGACTCTTGTTTGTGCAAAGGGAAGAAAAACATAACCCGGATGCCTCACAAGCCGCCAACCCCTTTGCATAAGAGCATGTATTTATGCTTGTACGGACACGTGCACAAATTCATCCAAGAAAGCACTGGAAAACGATGCATGCAAAGCTAAGAGGAACATCTTTTTAAGTTTCCCCTTCCACTTTGTGGGCCATCTTGTAGGTCCCCATATTTAAGTAAACATTGCAGGCTATTTTTGTCATTTCAGAAAGAACTGATCCACATATCTGCTCTCAAAGGATCCTATACTTTCTTGGAAGAAAATTATCCTGTTCCTCAAACTTGCAGGTTCCATAGAATAACTAAAGCTACGAGAGATGAACATGACACAGTTGCTCATGCTGAACTTGTCTAAAAATAGAACACTCCAGGGAGGCACTGTTTATTTATTTTTGAGATGGTCTGTCCTTAAACTGGCCAAGAACTCACCGTGCAGCCCTGGCTGTCCTGGAACTAGCTTTGCTATTCCCTGCCTCTATGTCCTGAGTTCTGGCATTACCAGTGTGAGCTACATTTGCCCTCATTAAACAGAATGGGTGGAGGAGGGGTGGGAGAGCAGGAGATAGCTCTGCTGCTAAAGGAGCCTGTCCACAAGTCTGACCACCAGAGTTCCATCGGGAGACCCACGTGCTGAACGAAGAAAAACAACTGCAAATTGTCTTCTGATCTCCACACATGTCCACAACACACAAATAAACAAAAGTAATTAATTGTTTTTTTTTTAAATCAAAGAAGTAGGGTCTATCCTCCGGTGACTCTTGAGAGCAGTCTGACCTAAAGTTGCCCTATCCTGGAACCGCTTCAGCTCCCTAAGTGGGAAGGATCCTACGCCAGAGCTGGCCCAACCGACAAACGGGAAGGGAAGAGAGAAGAGGATGCCAAGAGATGCACAGAGGGGACGCCGGTGTCACTTTCCCCGAACTTGATCGCAGCCCCCAGCATGGCCAGTCCTTATATAGTCACTCAGCAGTCATTCCAAGGGCGTGAAGGGAGGTCATGGCGGCTGACGTCCAGAACATCTGACCTCTCCCGGGCAAAGCCAACTCTTGCTTGCAACCTTCGCCACCATCAATGCCCCTTGCCCAAGTTCACGAAGCCTTGTCTAACCTGACTCCTAGCCTTTTTTCTCACCCCCAATCCCAACCCCACCCAAACCCCAAAGGACCTGTCCTCCCTACAGTAGCAAGCGCTCGCCTCTCCTTCCGTCCTACCCATCTGCAGCCCCCTTTGCACAGCTCCTTCAGCCCCGGGGTTACCTCCTCCACCTGCGCGCGCGTGGGAGCACTCTGCCTCCTCCCTTATCCAGCCCCAGGATCAGTCCTGCCTCCTCCGCGCCTCCATCATCAAGGGATGGACAACCTCTCTCCTGGGAGCCCCTACTCACCTGGCTCATACTTCAGGTAAATGATGGAGACGATGAAGTAACTAAGGTCGAAGACCGGGAAGAGCGGCACCCGTGAGAAGCTGAGCGCGAGCTCTCCCAGGCTCAGCGCTGATATCAGGTCCATGGCGTTGGCGGGTACCTCTCCGGCCCCTGGCCCGGTGCGTTCAGCCGCCCGCCGCCCGGGCGACTGCGCCCCCGCCGC